GTTTGGCCCATATCCCCCTAAACTTCCTGATCAGTGTACCTGTTCAAGTGTCTTTTAAATGTTGTTATTGTACCAGCCTTTACCACTTCCTCTGGCAGATTGTTCCATGTACGCAACACCTTGTCTGTGAAAAATTTACCCCCCAGGTCCCTTTTAAATCTCTCCTCTCTCGCCTTAAACCCTATGCCCTCTAGTTTTTGACTCCGTCACCCTGGGAAAAAGACCTCACCTATTCGTCTTATCCATGCCCCTCATGATTTTATAAACCTCTATAAGATCACCCATCAGCTTCCTACGCTGCAGGGTAAAAATTCCCAGCCTATCCAACCTCTCCTTATAACTCAAACCCTCCAGTCTCGGTAACATGCTTGTAAATTTTTTTGCTCTCTTTCCAGTTTCATAACATCCTTCCTATAGCAGGGTGATCAGAATTGTATGCAGCACTCCAGCGGTGGGCAGCTGTGAGGGGAAGATCTATTTACATGCCTAATTAAATGACAATAATAATGATGGCACAAGGCAAAGGTAGAAGTACTAGGACAAACAAAAAAAACTAAAAGATGGCTCCAGATGAGATATAAGTGGGCCTAGCTGAATCATAACCAGTTCCTATTTTACACAAAATGGAGGATTCCTTTCCTCTTTCCACCACTGCGGCTGACAGAGCCATTAACAACTCCATCCCATTTCCCACACAACTGCTGATGTGTAAGAACTTCTTTTCCCAGAGGGGTTTTCTTTATTTTAAAAAAATACAGAAAATTGTGGGTGCTGGAAATCCAAAATGAACCAGAATTTATGAAGAAGTGTCATACCAGACTCAAAACATTAGCTGCTTCTCTCCCACAGATGCTGCCAGACCTGCTGAGTTTTTCTTTATTCAAGTAATTCAGGCATGACTTGTTAGACCAGCATTTATTGCCCATCCCTAATTGCCCTGGAAAAGTGGTGGTAAGCTGCCTTCTTGAAATACTACAGTCCTTACTGTATAGGGACACCGACTGTGAAGGCATTTGAAACAGTGATATTGTTCTAAGTTATTTTGACATTTTCATCCCTAGAGGCTGTGTGATTCAATATAATCAAGGATGAGAAAGACAGTTCTTTTTTCAATGAAGTTAAGGGTTTTTTTTATTCATTCACAGGATGAGAGCATCGTTGGCTAGGCAGCATTTATTGCCCATCCCTAATTGCCCAGAGGGCAGTTGAGAGTCAACCACATTGCTGTGGGTCTGGAATCACATGTGGACCAGACCAGGTAAGGATGGCAGTTTCCTGCTCTAAACGACATTAGTGAACTAGATAGCTTTTCCCCAACAATCAACAATAGGTTCACGGTCATCATTAGACATTTAATTCCTGATTTTTATTGAATTCAAATTTCACCATCTGCTGTGGCAGGATTCAAACCCAGGTTCTCAGTATATTATCTGGGTCTCTGGATTAACAGTCCAGCAATAATACTCATAATATAATACCATTGCTTCATCGCCCCCCCCCTCCCCTCACCCCCCCACCCCCACCCCATATGAGATACAAGCAGGAAAGTGGAGTTAAGGGCACCTTCAGATCAGCCATGATCTTATTAAATGACAGAGCTGGCTTGAAAGGGCCAAATGGCTTACTCCTGCTCTTATTTCTTACGAAATTCCATACCAATGCTCACACCTCTTCTCCTCTCTCCTAGAATTGCTGGAGAATTCACTTTGTCCTCACCTCCACACTCAACAGGTCATCCATCATTCCAGTCGCTAATGCTAGCATGAAATATCTGTTTCTCCTCCCTCCATTCAGCATTTGGAATTATACTTCCCTCCATGACACTTTGAACGAGGCCATAAAGTCATGATCCAGGTGGGTCAGAAAACTGTCATTCAGCCTCTGAAAGGTGATAAAATCTACTACGTCACAACAGTGCTTCCATTTTCAGCAGTTTTAACAAGTGTTCAAGCTGGACCCCAGAGAAGGAAGTCCTGCACATTTACAGTGTTAAGTTTGAGTGAGTGACCACAATGGTAAAATTGAGTTATCGGATGTCAGCCCAGTTGGCAGTGAAGAAATCAAACAGAACAGAGAGAGTGTTTAAGGTGGAATTAGAATGCTGAAGGTGAGAGAAAGAATCCATTTTGCACAGGCCAGTTTCCTCGCTAAAGAAGTGGACACTGATGTGAAAACAATGGAAAAAGAGATCTGCACTGTGCCAAGCTCAAAATTTGTTGAGGTGAGGCATAAAGTATTGAAACTGATGCCTTAGCTGACGATTAAGCATTTGAGGTCAGAGATGAGAAGGTCAGAGAGAATAGAGTGAAGATGGCATAAGGTGACTTTGGAAGGAAGGATAATGTCAGACTAAGTGGAAGGAAAGATAAATCCATATGGGCATTGATAACCAAGAGCTGTTGACGAAAACAGGATAAGGTTGAGGATGCAATGAAACCTGGGACAGTTTTGAGATGACGTGAGCTGGTGCTGCTGTAGAATGAGGATCCGAGAATGCGTTTAAAAGACTTGTAAATAGCCTTGAGTATTCATCTCAGATCCAGTGATCTGATGAATTCGACACATCACAGCAAATGTGGGTGGATCTGAAGGGTGGAGTTTCAGTGGAATCCATGTGGATTAAGTTACAGGTGGAAATAGAGTTGCTGAGGAAGGAGGTGTGGCTCTCAAAGTAAGTTTTAGAACATATCTGATCAAACACAAGAGGGGAAATAGGAAGCAAAGATGGTTTAAAAAAAAAAGGGAAAATAGACAAATGGAAATACTCTCAGAGACAAGTGCAGGCCTTTTTCAAAATGAATGGAAGCGATGTGGCAGTGAATTAAACATTAATATAAAAATAAATTACTGCAAATGTTGTTATTTTACTCTTTCATATTAAACCCTCACTCCTTGTGTTGGCTTGCTGAACGTTTTCTCCACCATGCCTTGACATCTTTCTTAAAGTGGGATCCTTTTACTGCAAGTTACCCACTTTGCAGGTTCTGATGACAAAGCACCCAGTAGCATATTTTGTGCCACAGTAAGGATTCACTAAAGTAGCCCAAAGTTATTTCAATTCTCTGTAACCATAGATGCCATTGGTACGTATACCGTACGCTACAATGGATAAACAATATCAAAGGTTTTGAACAGTGAAATCTTCAGTGTTCAAAATTAAACAAAGCTGAATTTGACCATATGCATCCATCTTCCTACATTACAACCAAAAATGGCCTAAAACCACACTCTCGTTTAAAATAGCAAAGAGATGAATCACTGACACTAGCCTCCAATGATTCCAGCTCTCTCCTATGATACCGACTTCTTTGGAACAGGATAATATTTTTCCTACTGCTTGTTGTTTATTTTCTATCTTAATGAGATTTTTATTTAGTTTTTAATTTTCTTTTCAAATGGTAAGTTTGTGTACAACATGAAAGGAGGCTAAACTACCTAAAATAATAAATTATCTTATAGACACCATTGCTTCAGGTATCTGATACTATTGTTTTAAGGCATGAAAAGATGGATAATATGTCAATATGCACTGTCATATATTGTTAGCTGGCTACTTACCCAAGGAAAACTATCTATATGCATGCATTAACCATTAACTATAATTTGTCTTTCTATCCAACTAACTAATGACAAGTCCTATCCATCTATACCAGAAATCTGTGCCTTGGATATGAAGCTACCTACTATTCTGAAGTTGTTATCATTATTATTCAATTATATAAATTGGTGCTGAGCCTTTCTAATATTTTGCAAATTCAAAATTTATTACACAGATACAGAAAACAACTGATTGTTCTGTTGTATTTTACCCATTAGGTTAAAATCTCATTATATCCTAAAGCACCTTAGGGTAAACATATATAGAGGTAATGATCTTAAATTACATTTGACTGCTTAATATTCAGTCACTTAGGACATTATTTATAAAACAAAATCCAAGGAAATGCTGTAATGCAAAAATTTCTTTATTGAAGAAAGACCCATGAAGGACAGAAGCTAAGATAGCATTGATTGAATGGGATTATTGAATTAATTTAGGTCTTTGTTGCAGTGATAGATACACAGTTTGAGTACTTGCAGTGCTGATTAGGTTCATGCTTATCAAAGAGATAAGAATGAGCCATAAAGTACATCTATTTCTCACGTTATGTAAATTGCAATTACTAATCAATATCTATTACTAAAAATGTGACATATTTGCAGTGAATGGAGTGAAAAGCAACATATCAAATAGAAGAACTTCTTTAGCTGCTAGTTATCCATTGGTTTTTAATTGACTAACTTCAAGACAACTTTTAAAGTGATTTTCAGGCAAAAGATTTGCAACTTGAAGACTTCTTAAAAGGGTCACACTCTAACGTTTGTCAGTAGAAAGTAAATTCAGTTTAAATGTGGACCAATGCATTGTTCAGGAGAGCAAAAATATGTATTGTAACAACTGTGAATACTGCAAATGTACAGCAGTTCAATGAGCATCAGAAGGCAAAACACATTTTTAATAAGCAAAAATGTGATGTTTATCTTTCATAATGTTTGCTTGAGTGAAAATATCAAAAGTGTACTTTTTTCATATACTTGTATCAATATAGCACATGAAATATACTTCAATACAAGTGCCAAATCAAAATGCTGATGTACAAATGTGTGCAAGTAGTGCTTTGTTAGTTGGTTTTGAATACAAACTTATTTCTGATTTCTGGTTAATAAATGTTCACATGAAATTTTAATACTTTTCTGAATCAAAATAGTATTCTTTTTTGTGGTTTTTTACATATCACATATTATCAACATTTTACCATGATGGATATTTGGGATAAAACCTTGGCTCCTTGGTTTCACGTTAAAAGATTGGAATGAAGAAACTTTTGACAGGGAAAAGGATGCCTAGAATTGATTTTATTAGTAGGTTTAATGCATTCTAAATACAAAAATACAGTTTTATAAATACAAGTCACACTTCTCTGTGACCGGAAATTAAACACTTAGTATATCATGAAATATCTGTAACTCATTAACTCATACAGGCAGAAACATTTTCACCATAAGAAAAAAGACGCAACTGTCCACAACAGTATCACAGCAATGCCGGAAACATACTTTACTACCTCCCACAGAGACAAGACTGTAGAATTGCAAGTCCATGCATTTTCACCGTCCCTTTTTTATGTAAATAGAATATGTTTGAATGGCCAAATTGACTTTTCAAGTTTTTAAACGCGTTTAAAACAATATTTATTATGAGTACTCGGATTTGGACATTGTTCTCTACAAACATTTCAAGAGGAATGAATTGCAGAAGGTTCCTCTGGGGCAGTCACAGAGTCTTCCAATTCTGGCTCCTTTCCTTACAGCACATTGTTCCCCAGCATCACACTGTTAAAAAAAGATTAAAAAGTTATTCCATTCTGTTGCAATATTAAAAATGAGTTGAAAATTCAATCAAAAAAATAAAATTGATCTGAATTAATTATTTTTCCTAACAAGTAATATTGGTTTTGTATGCAGGCAAGTATACCATGTATCTCATAAATCAGAACAGTATTCATTCATTTTAAGTCAGAAAATGTTCTAGCAGTCAAAAGGGAAGAACTATATATTTTTCTAATTTGAACTATTTCACTCCTGGTGTATGTGACTCATTCTGGTACAACTAGTGCCAGCAGTCTTCTGGCATCTTGCTAGACAGGCTGCTTTGCCTTAACCTATACATTGAGGCTTGACAAGTTATGAACATTGAGCACATTTCACCTGAAATAAGTCTTGCTCTCATTTCTGATGCCAACATTTGAGCACTTTCTAGAAGTGGTCACCATATAGCAATCATGAGCATGAAATCTTTTTTTTAATTTTACTAATTCTAACCCATAGACATTGAGAAAATGTTATACTGCAACCAACACACTGAGATTAAATGAGATTAACTAATGCAGGACAAACCAAGGATTGAAATACCCTTCAACCAAATGGTTCAGTTTTGTATGCTATGTAAGTTCTGAACTGGAGTCATTTTGGACCTGAAACTTCAACTGTTTCTCTCTCTACAATATTGCTAGACCTGCTGAGTTTCTCCAGCATTCTCTGTTTTTATATCAAATTTCCAGTAACCATTTTACTTTTATTGGTACAGTTGCTTACTGGCCCTGTTTGTTTATTCTACTAAATCATTGATGGTATAAAATTATTATGAGACATATGCTTCACTTTAAATAGTGCAGCATTTTCCCCTTTGTCGAAGATAATGTAGGAAATAGGTTAATAGGAATTCTTGACTGTGTCATCACTTACCTTATCTTTGGCATCATTTAATAATTAATGGTATAATTTGTGTTATTCTGCTACAGATCATTAATTAGTATAGATGCTTCAAGCTGTTCCACTGTAACTACTTCTCAGTACGTAAACTTCTTTGATGCAAATGAAAATTTTTATCTGTTTGCTTCAAAAGTATTAAATGTAAAATTTATTTCATACATTTAAGTCTTAACTCAGATAGGTCATCATACAGATCACATCAATTGCCCAGAATCTGGAATTAACAATCTAATGATGACCATGAATCCACTGTCGATTGTCAAAAAAAAACATCTAGTTCTCCTTTAGGGAAGAAAATCTGTCATCCTTGCCTGGTCTGGCCTACATGTGACTCCAATGTGGTCGACTCTTAACCGCCCTCTGGGCAATTAGGGATGGGCAATAAACGTTGCCTAGCCAGCAACACCCTCATCCCGTGAATGAATAAAGAATAAAGAAACAATCCTATTGGTAAAGATATTGTCAATTTAATCAGTCTAAAATGAAACTTATGCTCTGTGTTTGTGTATATCATGGACATTAAAATTTAAAACAAGTACAACTTAATTCTGCATTGCTTGTTTTAAAAATCTTACCATTGGGACCATTCCAAACTTTTTCTCGTAGGTTGGCATCCTCTTGCTTTTCAGTTTCTCCAGAACTTCCTGCAAAGCTTCAATCTGCGTGAAAGCAAATAGTTTATATTCTTGCACTAAATCATTTAAAAGGCGGGAGAAGCTCTCCGGAGCAGGCGAGTTTTGTCCAAGCAGAATGAACTAGCCTTACCGACGTTAAAGCAGAAATGTTCTTAGTAGATCATTTTCCACTACGCCCCCATCCCCCACCCCAGTCAGATATCTACAAATCCCGTGTGCCTTTTCGCACACATTTGTCCTCACACTTACTTAATTCACTTTTGCTGGGATCTTTCAGCAAAATAACGTGTCAGTTTAAAGAGAAGCATTTATTTCAATGGATCCCAATAACCCGGTATCCAAAGATTTTAAAATGCTACACAAATACCAAATGCGTTACCATAATGTGAAACGTTGCTTTGGAGTTAAATTAAGTAACTGGTGCTAGCTTTGCACAGATGAATTGTAATTTTTAAAGTAAAATTTGACAATCTTTGATGGCTTACCAGTTCCTTTTCTTGAGAGGAGTCTTCTTTGACTGAGTAACGGTCTATCGATCTGGCTTGCAGCTCTGAGTCCTGGCAATTGGAGTTGACGAGCAGAGCAGCGCTCAGCAGAGTGAGGAGGCAGAGGCGAGTACTCTCCATGGTGCTGAAACTCAGAGTCTGGCCACCACAGAGCGGATCCAAACTCTGACTCGGCTGCCCTTTATATAGCAAACGGCAGTTTTGACACAAGTAAACAAGTCCCCAGAAAAATCAATCAGAACATTGACGTCAGAGGGAACGCAGCTCTCGGCGTTGAAGAAGTACAGAAGAAAACAATCTTTTTGAAAAATCCTTCATTCATTCTTCATTGAAGGAAAAGAAATCTCGAGGGAAACAGGGAAAGGAGCTGTTGAATTATTACTGTTCAATACCACTGTAATATATTCCACACACACGTAAGAACAGATAGAAGTGTCAAAGGCAAAGAGCGTGAGAATAATGAGCCTGTATATAGGAATCAGTGATCGTGAAATGAAATAAAGTCTTTGCTTTTGCATTCTGTTTAACAAGCTAAGTAGTACACGTGTAGAACAAAGGCCCATGCGTAAAGAAGAAAAAATAAGGAATCTTCTCTTTGAATTTATGTGTTCGTGAAGAGGTGCATTTTCGTGATCTTGTGTAAATTCTCTTCATTTCCCCACCTCCCCAGATTTCCAATGCAACAGATGGATTTATGTGCGTGAAGTAATCTAGCCCACAAATTATTTAAGACAATAGCTCATTTAATGTCAAGTATCTGTCGAAATTAGAGGCCACCTGAGAATAAGGTTTACACCACAGCCTTTCGTGGCCTCTTTAAAAGTGTCAGAATGATAAAAAGAATTAACTCCAATCTAAATAATATTTAATGGAACAGAATGCAATTTGCTATAAAATACAATGCATTCCTCACTTCAACTGCAAATGATATAGCTTCCTAATATACTATAAATGTATTATTATGTGATTAATAATGGTAAGTAAATGGATATTCAGGAACAACCTAGACTCACAGGGTACAATATAGAACAAGATTTATCTGTGGCAATAATTCTGTCTCATCTGCACTAAAACTCCAAGCTATGCTGACTAGCATTGTGAATTTTCCCACCTGTATTTTTATGCAGACATTTATATATAATATCTTGAAATGTTTTCTATTGTGTACACCAAATACCACAAAATATATCCATTAGTTAGATGCAAAGTAACTACAGTGTTGAATCATTATGGATCTCCGATACAACGGGGTGGCTCCACAGCATATTTGCCTCTTGATTCCCACTTCAAAATGTATCTTTTTATATAACTAACATTAGTAACATCTAGAAATGGTTGCCAGATAACTTAGCAAAATAAATTATGGTCATTTATCTAGTGTTTTAATATTAATCTTGACTTGATTAAAATTGGATCAGTATGCTTCCCTCAAACTATTATGAGCACTTTTCAAGGAAGGTTGTTTCTTTTGTAAGCTGTGATCTATCTGAATCACTAATTGGGTATCAGGTTTGAATAATAAGTGACGATAAGCCGTTTTACAGGCTACAAACGTTTCACAATTATTTTTAATAAACAGTGACAGATCACATTCTGCATTAATAGTTATAGGAAAATTATTGTCATAAAATAAGTGAATGTAGATTATGTATACTGCATAATGATAATTAAGAATTTACAGAAACAAAGCTTACTTATAGCGTAAGATGACATGGATTTCATGTATGAGTAAAGATTCTTTTGGAAAATATAGATTTATGTCCAAACAGCAGTTCATGGGCCACGATTTATCTAACAAATATGTTGAACTGACATTTCTAAGTTTGAGACATATTTAAATTTAGTTAGTTTTAGACACATCTTGAAGAGTTTCAGTCTTTCATATTCAAATTGGCAGTAAGAGAAGGCAAACAAGAAAGAAAGAGATGTCAGAGAGACTGAATGGATAGGAAGTAATTATATATTCACTTCAACATGCACAATGGTTTAAAATGGAAAATGAAACCAATTACAGTTCACTATTGGCTAAGGGAGGATAGCAAAATCTTATAAATACCACGAATCTAGTGTCTTACTCTTTTTGTTTGCTCATCTATTTGTTGGTTTAAAAGTCTTGTTTACCTGTCTATAACCTTACGAATTCTTTACAACTTTCTTAAGATAATGATGGATTATGCAAGGAACACTAAATATGATTGGTACCTGAAATTCAGTGACAGTGTTTTTCAGTTTTATTTTAGAGTTCAATACAAATTCCCAAGTTTCCAAACAGGTTTTTTAGATTTTAAGTCAAAGAAATTGAGACATCTGCTATCTGAGTATTCTGATAAATTGAGATACAAAAAATTATCAGTGTATATATGCAAAAATAACACTGTATACATATATTTCTGTATGAAATATTAACATCTGTACGGTTATTTAAGGAAGGATATAAATGTGTTGCAAACAGTTCAGTGAAGGTTTACCAGACTAATGCCTGGAATGAGTGTGTTGCTTTGTGAGTAAAAGTTGGACAGGATAAGCCTGTATCTGTGGGAGTTTAGAATAGTTTAAGGCAACTTGATTGAAACATAAAAGATCCTGAGGGTAGATGCTCTTCTGGGGGAATCTTTTATGGGAGAAACTAGAAATAGGAGTTATTGGTTTAAAATAAGACATTATTTTAAATAGAAATGAGGCAAAAGGTGATTGAAACAGTCTTCGAACACTTCTAAGGCTGTAGGGATTTGATTCATGATAGGCAAGGGGATGAAATGTTATTAGGCTATGCAGGAATGTGTATCTGAGATCACAGACACATCAGCCATGATCTTATTAAATGTGGATGAAGCTCAAGACAAATGGCCTACATTTTTTTGTGTGCATGTCTGTTCATATGTAACTAGTTCTTGTATTGAAGTACAATTTGACATCTCTCCAGTTGAGGCACTGTAGGGATCAATTTTGGACTAGTAATTATATCAAAAGAGTTCAATAAACATATTTAAGCATAATATTTGAAGTTTCAATGGAGTTGGACAATAGATGGAAGAAATGCTAATACAATAAAGTTTATAAAGGGAGGGTGTACAATTCACTTAATTCACTGGTTTGAATGCCCTTGAGAATAATGGTTAGGCAGTGCAACAGAAATTGGCTATACTTTCTCTTTTACCACAATGTATCAGAATTAAACTTTCTGCAGAGATTCACTTTAAAATTAAAAAAAACTTTCTGGCCAAGGATAGTTATTCTTGAAGGCAAGAAGGATAAAGTGTATTATGTTCTGAAGTCTGTCAGCCTGGTGTCCTTACATGTGTGGTCAAGTCACAATATAGACATCAGAATATTGAAGCATTGAAGATAGAAAACAGAAGTATGACATTCAACCCATTTATTCTGCTTTACCATTATAATCATAGCTGTTTAGTGAGCTCAGTACCCTAATCCTGCACTCCTCCATATCTCTTGATCCCTTTAGCCACACATGCTATATTTACCTCCTTGACAACACAATGTTTCCATCTCAACCACTTTCTGTGTCGTGAATTCCACAGGCTTATACATTCTGGGTGAAGAAATTTCTCCTAATCTCAGTCTTAAGAGATTTACCCCCTATGCTTAAACTATGGCTCCTAGTTTTGGACTCCCCCACCATCGGGAACGTCGTCTGTGACCTGTCCAGGCCTGCTCAAAGCAAACAGCTATTTCTGGAGACTTGGCGAAACAAAGACCAACAATTACATGGAACCATGTACTTTCCAATGAAAGCATTGTTAAAAAAGTAGTTTCAAATTTTCTGATTCAGACAGCTCTACAATCCTTAAAAGTCCAGCCCACAAAAATAATAAATACGAAGCAGCTGCATAATGTCTCCATGTTGACATAAATGAAATGCCATTTTTCATATGGGTCTCAAAAATTGTGAGCAAAAATAAAAGCATTTTAATAACAGATATTTACACACCCATGCTTACATGCTCTTTCTACCTTTAATCTATAATTATTTCTGATACCTTCTTTGGTACTTAGATAATTCACAATGTTACATTCTAGGCAAGAATGGGCAATTATATAATTTATTCCAGCAGTTGTGAATAATCTTTAAAAGAATGGCTGTAATTGTAAACTCATTCAAAACATTTGACATTTTGGTTTCCAATTTTTTTTCGCAAAGGTTAAGGGGATATGGTTATTATTTCTCTGTTGCCATGATAGACATATGGTTCAAAATGTTTAGAAGGCAGTAGAACTCTCAGGATTTCTTTTCCAACTTCAGAGTATATTTTTTAAATGTCACTTTGACTATTTGTAAAAGTATCCCACTGGCTTCTCTATGCTAATTCATCTTCATGTAAATAGAATTGCACCTACTCCCAAGTCACTAGTATTGATTGATATCTTCATTTCTTTTAAAAACTTGATTGCTACCTTAAAGGGCTTAGTGAAATTTGAAGCAGCTAACACTGGTTAATTGATCAAATTGTTTTCAGCTTGTCAAAACACTCCTAGCACTTTTCTGATAACCTTATTTTGATTTTTGTTTGGAGTGAGTCCATTAGTGGAACAGCTTGTAGTGCTGAGATTTGGTACAAACTAGGGGTGGAAGCCACACATCTCCAAAAACTTCATGATTTCCACTTTAGTTTTGGGGCAGAGAACACCACTATTGTGTTTATTTCTGCAGTTCTTGGAAGCAATTGTCCTTGCCCTGTAAGGCTGAGATAAATAAATTCCTGATCAGTAGGGAAATGAAAGGTTATGAGGAAAGGCAGGAAAAAGTGGATGTGAGGAGTGTTTGATCTGCCATCATCTTACTGAATGGCAAAGCAGGCTCAAAAGGCTAAATTTTGCTCCTCTCTGTTCCTGTTTCTTATGATCTTACAACATGCCCTCAGTAGTTTTCTTCCACCTGCTGAAATTCACTCCCAGCAGGTTTATCACCAAATCAACAGACAGTAAATTCCTAAACAAAACTTCTAGTTGTTCCAAGTAGTCCTTCCAAATGTCACTGTATAGCAACACATCGTCAAGGTAAATTACACAATTAAGAACACTAATTACCACATGATTCACTGACCTATAGAAAGTTGCTGGTAAGGGTTTTTTAGTTGTAGTGCCTCTACCACTGAACGAGGAGGTCTGGGTTCAAGTT